AGGCAAAGGAGGCTAAAAATAACTTCCAGAATAGAACAAACGCAAAAATTCTAACATCCTCTCCAGATCAGCCTTTGAGTTAGAGGGCTAGGTACTGGGAAAACAAGAACTGGATATTTAGAAGATCATAGCAAAAAGGCCATGTCTATAATTGGAAGGAGGAATGGCGTGCTTTTGCCCCTAATTTAATTTTACCCATTTAAGATATATCCTGAAATTCTTTTCGTTTAACTACCTTTCCATCACTGGCCTTATTTTTGATCCTAGCTTACATACGATAGGATGGATTCTTTAAAACTAATAATGTAATCAATTCATTTAATCTCCTGGGAATAAGAAAAATGAGCACGATAAAGATTTGGAGAAAAATACAGCATTCATGGCAATATAAAGACAAGCCTATAGATGACTCTGACTGCCTATCTCAACAATTAACTGAGATTACTCCATTTCCCTTTAAAACTTTCATGGCTGATCAGAATTTTTGGAGGTTTTTTTTTTTGGGGGGGGGTGTGTGTGTGTGTGGTGTGTGTGTGTGGTGGGGGGTACACTGGGTCTACCAGAAGGCAGGCACTCTGAATAAAAGCAACTTTTACTTTTGTTACCAAGGCTGATGCCCCCAGGATCATACCCCTACCCCTCCCTCAAATAGAAACCAATTACTCTTATCTAAGTTTCAGGAGGCAGCTGCAAAGAGAAGAAACAAGAACCGGTTAGAATCAACTGAGCCCAAGATGGCAGAGTATTTGACTTCCAGTGGACAGTTAAGCCTCACTATATGCTCATTGTAATACATCAGCATGCTAAGGGACACACCCACCAGCTCATGACAATTGAACACTGCCATGATAACAACCAGAAAGAAAAGCCCATACAAGGACTGAAAAGCCTGTACAAGGACTGATTGGTTCCATCACACCCAGAAGGAGAACATGATGGCAGAAGCCTCTCATAAAAATCCACGTGGCCCAGCCGGAGCCAGAGCTGTCTCCACAGGCCATCTTGGCTGATAGCACCCAGCTCGAGCACGTCCTTCTCCCAGAGGAGTGCTTTTCTTTCCTTCTCCCTGGTCAAATCTTTTTTTCTCTTTTGAGGAAAAAAAGCAACCATTCACTCTTTCCCTCTGCCTCTGCTGCAAATACTTTCACAGCTGGCAGCAAGGACCACACTTTGGTGGGCCTCTTAACTGAGGGGTCCCTCTGTCTGCTAACAGAAACAGCAGAGGACAGAAAAACTGTAAAGTATAAACTGAGATGGAGCAGGAGAAAGGAAAGCAGAAAGCAACAAAAGGTTAAACAAGAGAAGCAAAATAATTTCATAAAAACTTGCTGCAAGAGTAGCAACACCCAGTGGAAATGAGAAACATTGATGACAACCTCCTGTCCACCAGGCACTGTACTAGGCAGGTGCCTCCTTGACTTCAAGGAGTGTGCAGCCCAGCGTGGGAAACAGACACACAGCAACTCCACACAATGCAGAGGAAGAAAAACGTTTTATGACGATGTAACTGGAAATGCTTCTCAGCGGAGGAACATCTGAAAATGAGCACTGAAGGAAGAAGGCTTTAATATGATTTAATCAGAGGACGAGTACTCATAATACATTCAGAAAATAGAATAATAATCATAATAATATATAGGACCAGATACTAAAGAACGTTTAATCAGGATACTTATATAAGCTGGAACTGATTTATGATAAATTGACTTTATAACCAATTTATACACTCCCAATCTACTGGGCCAACAGTTCTCAACTGCACATGCATATTAAAATCACTTGAAGAACATTTAAAACTCTAGACCCAGCTGCATCATAATAAGAATCTCTGAGGGTAGGCTCTGGGCCTCTTTATTTTTCAAAGCTGCTTGGGTACAGGTAGGCTTGAAAACCATTTTACTATGCAGAAAAAAGAAAAAAGGACTAGGAAAAAAGAAAAATACAATTAACATTCAAATAGGGACAGTTACATAGATATTCAGTAGGAGCCTCTTTATTCCATGTTATCTGGGTAGGAATTTGGTCCACAGTTGGAAAATGACAGTCAACAGTAAGTATTACCTTAAACATTTTAATTAAAAACACATCCACACACATTCAACATTTTGAAGAATATTTTTCTTCACTATGGATCCTTTGATTGTTCTTCATTGTAATCTTGATCATATAAATAAATTTATAATGTGTTGCCTGTAAGTTCTATTTTTTGTTTGTTTAAGTGAAACAAGATAGATACTCGCCAAGTAATCTGAAGAGGGATTGTTCTTGTCCCTTGCTTTCTGTCACATTTTACCATTGTCTTAGTGACATCTAATTTAAGAGTATAGTTGTTAGCAATTTGAGTTTATCATCTTTTCCCAAAGCCCTCAACTTAATTTTTATTCAAAGATAAATTATTTCTTTTCACATTCACATCTCAATGGTTTATATATTTCGTACGTATAGGTGTTTACGGTATTTCAATAATACTACAATTACAACACAGAGACAACTGCCAGCAGCAGGTTTGGGAACAAACATCTACCTCCTGGTTAGCTTGTAAATCTAACTGATGCTGTCATGGCCTCAGACTTCGCCTCAAATTGAGGTGATACTTCTTTTTTTTAATAGAGCCCATGGAAATTATAGATGGGTGCTTCTCAAATCGCCTGGAGTTCTTATTTAAATAAAGATCCTGATTAGGTAGAACTGGAGTGGGGCCTGAGATTCTGCACGTCTCACTAGCTCCCAGGTGATACTGATGCTACTGGTCCAGCCATCATGCCTTGCGAGGCAAAGCTGTAGAACACTGATTATTAACCCTGCTTGCACATAAGAATCACCCAGGGAGATTGCTGAAAATACCAGTGTGTGGAACTCAGATCAAGTGAATCAGAATCTCTAGGGGAGGGGCCTGGGCATCAGTATTTTATAAGAGCATTCAGGTGATTCCATGAATGGCCAGTGTTGAGAATGACTGATGTAGATGAATCCAACTAGTCAACTCAGTGAGCTTTTAACATACAGCTCCATCCTGAATATTATCAGAGAGTGACTCAAAGGATGTTATTAAAAGAACCTAGCCAAAATTACTTTATTCTTATGCTACAGTTAAGGATAACATTAAAAATCTAACGTTCTACCTCCAGTGGCTTCTTAACTTCTAAATCATTTACTTACATTTATAACTTCAAAAAGGTCACAGGAGTAATGGAAGTGGAGGACCAGGGAGAGGGTGAGAGAGGGGAGGGGATGCCAGAGGGAGACAGAGAAAGAAAGAGAGGAATTCATGCACACTGTGAGACTAGAGATTGAGCCTCATTAGATACAAAATATACTTGTATTTTGGGACAAAATATTTGTTAAAATACAGCACTTTTCCCTATTTTCAGACAATTTTCCCCCTTAGGGGGCCAATTAGGTAAAATTTTCTACAGCTATGCTAAATGAAACATTGAGGTTAAAATGTTAAACACATTAAGCCTGGAAATTAAGAATTAAATTACCCCCAAACTTAACACTTCTCATAATAACATGTCAAAATGTGATTACACTCCCCCGGAAGCCTCTGGAATTAAGAAGTGAAAGGGCTTCTCATATTTCTTTTCAGGCCTTTGAAGATACTATCATATGTATTGCTGCATTTCTCCTCACCTCCATTTATGAAGAAGAAAATTATGGAAATGTTCATTCTCATGCTCTCAATAAATACTTCCTGGGTGGCCGCTATATGCCAGACACTGTGCTCAGCACTGGGGACTCCGCCGTAACAAGAAAGATTCTGCCTTCACAGAATCTGCCATACAGAGGGGGATTCAAGACAGCTAACCAGACAAATAGTAATAATTGCAGATTAACACCAAGTAAAGAACCAGCCAGAATCAGACTCTGGATAACTAGGCGGCCATTTGGGATCTCATCAGAGATAACTACTTTGGGTAGATCAGAGAGAAGGTAACACTTTAGCTGAGACCAAGGCTGAGAGGAGCTAATGTGGGGGTAAATGACAGGGGAAAAAAATGCCCCAGGCAGAGGGGGAAATTAGCTGGGCTTATTTGAATGAATTCCAGGGTGGAATTTTTCATTTATCTGTTGTTACCGATTTCTAGCTTATTTGCACTGTGGTCGGATAGAATATCCTACATAAAGTATTTCTGTGAAATTTGTTGAGATGAGCTTTATCACCCAGTACATAATCAATATTTGTAAATGTTCCGTGGGTGCTTAAAGGAGTATGTAACGTGCACTTTGGGGCTTAATGGTCTATGCAGGTTCCTTAGGTTGGATTGTTCATCACATTCAAGTGCTTTGTATTCTTAACGATTTGTGTGTGTGTGTGCGCACGCACGCACCTGTATTCTGGCAATTACTGCAACTTCACTCTGACTGTGGATTCATCTATCGCTCCATGTAGTTCTGTCAATTTTATATCATATATGTTGAGACTATATTATTGAGACTATATATAAACTTAAATTGTTATGTCTTCCTTGTGATCTGAAATGTTATTATTATGAAGTAACTCTAGTAATAGTTTTCACCTTAATATCTATGTTGTCTGATAGAAGAAACCAGCTTTCTTTTCCATGGGCTATATTGTACTATTCTTTCATTTTTAACCTTTCTGTATCCTCACATTTCAGACATGCATCTTTTAAACGAGCTGACTTTCATTAATTCAGTTTCAAAATATTTACTTTTTAAATTGGACCATTCAGCCTATTTACATTTAATGTAATTAATTTTAAAATCTACTATCTTATTTTGTGCTTTTCCCCTGCCTATCTGTTTCTTTTCCTCCTCATTTTACAACTTATTTTAAATTGATTGTTTTCTTCATTCTGTTTTCCCTTACACTCACTCAATAACACATTTTAACATGTTTCACTCCTCACTATACCATAATGTTATTGTTGAATTTTAAAAATTTTATATATTTTATTTTTTAAAATATATTTTTATTGAAGTATAGTCAGTTTATAATGTTATGTCAATTTCTGCTGTGCAGCACAATGCTTCAGTCATACAGAACATACATATATTCATTTTCATATTCTTTTTCACCATAAGTTACTACAAGATAAGGTATGAGAATGATGATAATTATTATCTTAGTCTATCAATATTCATTTAGATTTACTATGTACTTTTTTTCAGCTTTTAATTTTTCTGAAACAGTTTTTTTTACTTCATTCATGAAGTTGTTCTTATTAAGCATAGAATTCTAGGGCAGAAACTCTTTTCCTTGTACACATTAAGGATACCATTTCACTCCCTTCTGGCTTCAACTGTTGTTATTGAAAAGTCAGTGCACACAATTTTGAAGGAGAATAAATTTAGAGGACTGATGCTATCCAACTTCAAGACTTACTGATTAAGCTATAGTAATCAAGACAGTGTGATCCTGGAAAAAAAAATAAACAAATAGATCAATGAAACAGAACAGAGAGCCCAGAAATAGACCCCCTCCCCAAATATAGTCAACTGATCTTTGAAAAAGGAGCAAAGACAATACAATGAAGCAAAGACAGTCTCTTCAACAAAGGCTGCTGGAACAACTGGACATGTGAAAAAATAAATCCAGACACAGATGTTACACCCATCACAAAAGTAATTCAAAATAGATCACAGAACTAAATGTAAAACACAAAACTATAAAATTCCTAGAAAATAATAGAGAGAAAACCTAGATGACCTTGGGTATGGTGATGCTTTTTTTAGATACAACACCAAAGGCAAGATTCATTGAAGAAATAATTGAGAGCTAGAATTCATTAAAATTTAAAACTTCTGCTATGCAAATGACAAATTCAAGCGAATTAGAAGACAAACCAGAGAGAAAATATTTGCAAGAGATACATCTTAATAAAGGGCTGTTAGCCATAATATATAAAGAATTCTTAAATTTCAACAAGAAAACAATCTGATTTTAAAATGGACCAAAGACCTTAACCTACACCTCACCAAAGAAGATATGCAGATAGCAAATAAACATATGAAAAGATGCTCCACGTGTGTCATCAGGGAAATGCAAATTGAAACAATGAGCTACCACAATACACCTATTAGGATGACCAAGACCCAGAACACTGATAACACCAAATGCCAGAGAGGATGTGGAGCAACAGGAACTCTCACACATTGCTGGTGGGAATGCAAAATGATATAGTCACTTTGGAAGACAGTTGGGCAGTTTCTTATGGAACTAAACAAACTCTTACCATAGGATCCAGCAACTACTCTCCCTGATATTTATCCAAAGTAGTTGAAAACTTATGTCCATGCAAAAAACTGCACACAGATGAATGTTGCTGCTTTATTCAAAACTGCCAAAACTTGAAAGCAACCAAGATGTCTTTCCATAGGTAATGGAGAAAGTGTGGTCCATCCAGATAGTGAAGCATTATCCAGTGCTAAAAAGAAATGAGTTATCGAACTAGGACAAGACATAGAGGAACCTTAAATGCCTGTTGCTAAGTGAAAGAAATCATCTGAAAGGCTACATACTGTATGAGTCCAAATATATGACATTCTGGAGAAAGCAAAATTATGGCGACAATGAAAAGATCAGTGGTTGCCAGGGGTTTGGGATAAAGGGAATAAATAAGTAGAGCACAGAGGATTTTTAGGGCAGTGAAAATACTCTGTAAACATTAAAATAATTATCTTTATACATTTATTCAAACCCATAGAATGTACAACACCAAGAGTAAACCCTAAGATAACCTATGGACTTTGAGTGATAATGATATTCAATGTTGGTTCATCTTTGGTAACAAAGGTACCACTCTGGTGAGTGTTGCTGATAATGGGGGAAGCTATGCATGTGTCGGGGCACAGAGTATAAAAGAAATCTCTGTATCTTCCTCTCAATTTGGCTGTGAACCTAAAACTGTTCTATAACAACAGGCTTTAAAAAGTCAGTGTGATCGGTCCATTCATTACTCTTGAAAGTAATATTGCTATTGACTCCCTTTTAGAATTTTTCTTGGTCTTCGATTTTCTGAAGTTTCACTATATTGTGTCTAGACGAGGATTTACATTAATGGGACTCACTAGGGTATTTGAATCTGCAGATTGGTGTCTTTTATCAGTTCCAGAAAATTCTCAGCCATTTTCCCTCCCCTCTCCTTTTGGGACTCAGAAGAAATGTATATTAAACATTCAACTATGTCCTCTCTCTCCTTCCTTCTCTTTAATATATTTCAACTGTTAAAAATTTTTTGTTCTAATCTCTGGATAATTTCTTATGACCTATTTCCCAGTTCACTAATTCTCTATGTATCTCTGTCTACTGTGCTATTACATCTGTCTGTTGAAGTTGTACTTTTTCCCACTTATTCCACTTTCCCTATCTAGAGTTTCTGTTTCTTTTCTCAGATTAGCTATCATATGTCTTCCTGTTCCCCGAAAATAAATCCAGACTTAACTTGATATTTATTTTAAAATAATGAGCATGTTTATATCATACTAAGTGTGGGTTAATTCTAATCTGACCTCTTTGCAGTCTCTTTCTGTCCTCTGTTGTTTATGCCAGTTCTCATTCTTAGTGTTTTATTTTCCTATGTGTCTAGTTGTACTTGAAAAAATGATATTTCTAAGAATAACTTGAAGCCTAAGGTGAAGGCAGATTGCTCCATAAACTCACACACACACACACACTTTGCATACCCATCTTCTGATTTTAGATGGTACTTTTTTACAGAAGGCCTTCTCAATTCCCATGTACATTTAGTCCCAAGACTTGTCTCTCACAGAGTCTACCCTTTTCCTACATCCCTCTTACACAACTTGTAATGATGCATATGTATGTATCCTTAGCAGGAAATGAAAGATAGAAATAATTTATTTTCCAAAAGTGGTTTCAGACAATAAAAATGAATATTCTTTATATATCTAAATGGTATGAAAAATAAAGTTCCAAGAATATGCACAAATATCAAGATTAGAATTTCTTTAGTCAAAATAGCTTGTACTGGTCCTGAGAGTTGATTCAGTGTTGACAAACTATGGCCCACAGAAGAAATCCATCTGCCTTTCATTTTTCCAGGACCATCATTTTAAAATTATTTTTAATTTAATTTAATGTATAGTTTATGTATAGTTCATTATATAAGTTATAGGTGTACAATATTGTACAGCCTGGGAGCTAAGACCAGTTTTCACATCTTTAAATGGCTGGGGAAAAAAATAAAAAGAAGAAGATTTTATGACACATGAAAATTATATGATATTACAGTTTCAGTGTCAATAAACACGGTTGTATTGGAATATAGCCATGGTGGTTTATTTACATATTGTTTATATGCAGTTTATATGCAGAGACAGTTTAGTAGCTGCAAGAGAGAACATGTGACCTGCAAAAAAAAAAAAAAACAACTTACTGCTGGCTCTTTACAAGAAGCAATTTTCCATCCTCCATTCCACCCAAATTATTATTCTAGGCTAATCATGGGACTCCAACTGCCTTTGCTGATGGTAAGTTGAGCTCTGGGGTCTGACACGATTCTGGCCAAAGAGACATGGGGAAACTGTGAGGAGACTTCTAGGAAAGACTTCTTGCCCTTAAGAATGCTATCCACTCTCTCGCTACATCTTCAGAGACGGCCCGCACTCTGTCTACGGAGTGATGGAGTGTGTACCCACTTTTACTTTAACCGAGCACCCAACCCCCACTCCTCATGGCCTTTCTCTTGCCTTCTGAAACAGCCTATGTATCTCTCTAAATAAATCTACCTTTACTCAAAAAAAAAAAAAAGAATGCTATACAGATACAGAAAGCTGGTATTTTCTTTATTCCTCTGGATGAATGTAATTCCTGGAATTGTTATAATCATATTGCTATGATCTTGAAGATCAAGCCAACACAAAAAAGGAGGGTAGGAAAAAAGGAGGCAAAGAGAAGCAGGGATGAGACTCTGGCAGACCTTTCCCTGAGTTGCCCTGAGAACTGCTTCTTTTGTGATACCACAAATTCTCTCCTTTTTTTCCATCAATTTGCATCAGACCTTTCTGTAACTTGCATTCAAAGACATCCATGGCTAAACCCAAAACTGTATGGCATGGTATTGGGTGTGAACAAGTGAAAAAAGAAAACTTGCTGCAGCATTCAGTATAGAAAAAGACATCTATACAGTTAAAAATGCAAGAGAGAAAGCTAAGAAGAAGAGTTTAGAATGGGGGATGGTGTGAGGTTTAACAAAGGGGCAAAGAAACATTTTATATATATATAT